GGAGGGGGTGAAGGGAGGGCCGGGGAATGGGGAAAAAATAAGAACCCAGATGCATCATGTACAGGTACAAGACCCCAATGATGAATGTAACTGTATTGTATACCTAAAATGTACAAATGAACTTAATGGGGAAAAAAAGAATAATGTGAATCTCTAGCTGCACCATAAAGAAGTGAGAAATAGGACACGAAGGGTTAGTGAGCTCTTAGATGTGTTAATGGGAACGCTTTCCCTTTCCCTAGTCACCGCTTAATATGATGCAGTCAAGACACTGGCCTTGTGCTCACAGAAACCCCACTGAACGCAAGCACAGCCTTACCTCTAGGTCCTGGGCTCTTTCTCTGGTGAGAGGCGCAAACTCATAATGTATGTCATTTTCAACTGCTAAAGAACGAAGATCAAAGTAGTATTTGGCATACACACTGCCAGACACATTAACATTATACTTGAGCAGGATCAAGTAATGCCTTTCCAATTCATTTCTGGGGAGAAAAAACACCAAAACAAATACAGGCCGATTTTAGTCAAGTGGGTCATCTTAAGAAATGTCATTTTGAGGTTCTAGGACTGCTGTAAATTCTGTTTTGAGACCTAGGAAGGCTACCCAACTGGAAGAAAACACCCATGTTCCAACAAGGCACAGCTATTTTCTGTATCTGGATACTTTCTGTATCCCACACTTTTCTGTTTGGGTGGAGGGGAAAGGTTATGCCCTGCCCATTCCCGCCTGCTGTGGGCTCTCGGCCTGTTCTTCAGAGTCCATCAACACACCTGTGTGACTCACACTCCACACGTACTCATGAGGCCCCACTACAGTGAGCAAAAAAGCAGTGATGTGTGCCGTTTCTTAGCTCTGAAGAACTTGCAGGCATATTCAAGGGGCTCCTGAGAGGAAGGACTTAGAGAAGTAGTGAAGCACCAACCAAAGAACCACCACTCCTCCCTCTGAAGGGAAAACTCTTCAGGCGACAAGCATTCATCAGAAAGAAAGAAAAAGCCAAACTGCACTGTGTGGGAAAGGCAAACGCCTCCCTGTGGCAGCAGATGAGGCTCTGTCAAAGGGCACCTTCTTATTACTACGGTGACAAACTGTGACTGTGACTGTGACAATTTACTTTAAACTTGGGAAGACAGAAAGGTTCTGGCTGGAGTAGAACCACTGTGGCTGGCACAGGACCTCTGGCAGAGCACTGGACTCGGAGTCTCACCTCTGAGCAGTCCTCTGCTGCGGGGCCATGCAGCTGCCTGCGCAAACTCAATACACAGAATGTGAGAGCCCATCAGACCAACTGCTACACACAGCCCATCTCCTAGCCAGGGGGAGCATGGCGATCTGGAACCTTTCCTGGTGTACGTCCCGGTTATTCCAAGGACACGCGTTCAGATAAAAACCTGACAATGTGTGGCTCAGGCGGAAGCTATACTCAACAGTTCACTGGCCCTAAGACCTTAACAGCGGCCAAACAAAAGCCAGGTGCAACAGCCCTTACAGAAGGGACTGGGCCCAGCAACTTTTAAAAAGCCATGAAGAATGCCCTGTTCTATGCTATTCCGGTGGTAAGCTTGTAAGATGTCTGGCAAAACCACCAGAAAAATTTCAACTTACCAAGCATATCATTTAAATAATACTCTACGAAAACCTAGCAATTAATGATGGAAAATATGAATATTTATACTGTAGCTGAACAGAAAGTAATCATTTTGTGCCTATTTCCACTTTCTGCATAAAGTGATATTTGAAAATATTTCTTAAAATGCAAACCTTATAGGAGCAAATAAACTGGAAAATGGCTAGAAAGCCCGCTGAAGCCTTAAACACTCACATGTCCTTGAGAGAAACATCCCCGAGGACCTTGCAGAAGTCTATGTTCCACACAGTCTCGTCGTGCCAAACCTTGGTGGCAAGAAGAATGGCTCCCAGCAGGATCCTTCTCCAGTTAGCAGGACAGATGTCTATCTCAGCGTATGACACAAGCCTTTCTAAGTAGACCTGTAAAGAGAAGAACACTGTTCTGCGATTTCCGCTCTGTGTAAGTGCTGTGCTAAGACAGATTACTGAGGCCGGGGATTTAGCTCAGTGGTGCTGCTGCCTGCCTTGAAAGCACAAAGTTCCTAGTTCAATCCCTGGTACCAAAAAAAAAAAGACTACTGTGAATGACGGGTTTCTTCTGTGTCTGAACAGAGGGGAAGTCCCTCCTACTTCTGGGTGCTCCAGAGATTCTGCTCAGCTACAGTAAGGGGTCAGATCACAGATGGAAATCAGACACCTCTGCTGCTCATGAATTTCCTGTCTAATTTTGGTGACAGAAACGACTGGACAGCTCAGCCAAGGTCGTCCAGCAGAGTGGCACTGTTATCTTACACACTCACGGAGGCCACAGATATAGGCCTGGTGTAAAGCTTTTCAGTAAATGCTGAGCTTCTCCAACATGCACTGTAGCATTCCCAGCCGGTAGTTTCAGAATGGTTTTAGACAGGTCATGGTCAAATGTAATGCCCGACTCAGAGAGAGCACATTTTTATCTTCCTTTCACAGTATGAACCCTTTTGTGGCACTATCTGGTGGACAGGACCACCTCCCTGTGGCAGCTGAGCAGAGCACCACGTCAGGTGCAGGACTTCAAGCTGTAGTTTCCTCAAACTCAGGGCCTTTATAAAGAACCCATGTGTAAACAGGATGGTCCTTCTTGGTGCCTCTGTTTTCCCATCCCCACTCCTCATGAAAACCCATTCTCCCTCCTACATACTCAGAACCTCAGTCCATTCTGCTGGCTTCATGACAGGAAGAACAGAGCTGCCAGTCTATTCCTGGGACTCATAAACTTCCACGCAGTTGGTGAGACAATCTCACATATTCTTTATGTACATCAAACATCTATTCCACAAAGAACTGGGTGAGCTACCCGCTGAGTAAAGACTGTAGAGGGAGCTGTGATTTGCTGTTACTTCAATCTGAGCGATAGAAAAGTCTGCAGATGCTCAAGTCCCTCACATAAAATGGCTTACGGTTTGCACATAATCTACACACCCCCACCCACAGACTGTAAAGCAGTTCTAGGCTACTTACAACACAAACTTCAATGTAAATGGCAGGTAAAGGAAGTTATACTATATTGTCGTGCACTAAGGACAAGGCAAAAGAGGACATACATTTTCCCTAAACGCTAGAAATTGTAGATGTAGAGCTCACAGACATGGCAGGGATGACTGGATATGCTATTTGAACTCTTTGTATCAAAACAAAAAGAAAAGGTTTTATAAATCTTACACATTATTTATCATAAATGATAAAATCTCACCTTCAGAATTCTGTGTGGATAATACAAAGCTCCTCAGCTCCTCAGGCTAACAAAGCTTTTCTAAGAACTGATGGACTGCCATCCTGGGCAGCATTGCAAGCAGACAGCAGCACTCAGCAGGGATGGACTGATGCCCATAACCAGAGAACAGAGAGCTGAAGGCAGTGCAGTGTCCGGGGACACAGCCTGGGACCTGGCTTGACCTGCACAGAACCAGTCTCTGTGGCTCATGGGGCCCTGCTCCTGCTCTCCTTCCCACCCCACAGCTTTGTAAGGGCTCACGGTGTTAAGTGAGCATGTGCACTGAGGTACGGGGCAAAACTCTCCAACTGCCTTCAATTGTCTTGTGGTAAGAAAAGTGAAGACATCATTAAATGATGATGATTATGGGACCCAAGTATGTTTATTTGCTTTCCTCTGATAGGCTTCTCTTAATAAAGTTCTCATGATAATTTCAGGAGTTTCATTTGAAAAAAAAAGACCTTGCTCTGTGTACCAGACCAGTTTCTAAGCATGCTTGATAAATAAGTAACATCTTACCAAAGTTAGTATTGCGCATTCAGTTGGTAACCATGCAGCACTAAAAATAAAGGCAACAAATCTGTAAATACATTTGTGTTCAGGAGCATGCTCAAAGTATTCCTCTGGAAGCTTCTCTCTCTGAAATGAGAAATGATGCAATGTGAGAATCCACTGAAGAAAGCTTTTAAGTACTCTGAAGACAGCAGTCTCCACCTCTCACTCCTGTGTTCCTTAAAGTGATTTCAGTTGGGTTGTATGTCTTTTCATCTTCAACTAGAAACACTGGGACCTTCTGCTGTGCATAATGACACTTTGGTGAGTGAAGACCACAGTGGCCCCAGAAACGACCACCTCGTGTGCCACTGCCACTTCACTCCGTGAGGTCTGCCCAAGGTGGAGTCGCTGTCAACGCATCTCTCAGGACGTCCTGCACTGGTGAGCCACACAGAAGGCCACAGGCTCAGCAAATCGATACCCCTTGCTACTTTCGCCTCCACAAATTCATTTTTAGCCTGAAAGTCTTTTTGATTATATGCTGTACTCTCTGTAATAAAGTCTAAAATGATGTAATTGGTGTCCTGCAACCACAGCCTCTAGGGATGCAGTCACATACAATAGTCAGCAGCCATGTGACAAAAATGCCTGAGGAAGTGACTTTTTACATTTTTACGTCATTTTAACCTAATTCTCTGAGAGATTTCACATGTTATAAGATTTATTAACTAATGTTTATATTTGTTGGATGCTACTGAAAATTATTTTTTGAAAAGCTACATTTTCTGTTATTTGGGTAGCACATTTTTACCTTAGATCAATAACAAACCTGCAAGTCACTTCTCACTCTATCACAGCCCTGAAAAACCCTCCTTTCTGAGAAAGATGCAATACAACATGAGGTGGAAAAGGATGTGATTTAAATTCAAATAGAAGAGTGTGACTGACTTCTGGCAATTCATGTCAAAGGAAAATAGCATGAAAGAAACACAACTCCATGAAGTAAAAAATTATAATTTAAAAAAAGGTGACACTTACTGTGAGTGGATGCAGTCTCTCATCCAAAATATCCAGGGATCTATTTGTATCTCTATAAAGGAAGAAAGTACATCTAAGTGCATTCATTTTCATCTTAGTAAAATTCTTGCTAGGAGTAGAGGAGGATGGAGAAAGAGGCCTAACCTTCAATGCCCTAGTTTTACAAATTCTTTTCCTGGATTTTGCCCTTTAGACTTCTTTTTATTCAGGGCATCAAGGACTGTGAAGACTTTTCTAAGATGACCAGCTAAAGGTGCCTGTAAGTAATGACTCTCCTCAATGGGCAATGCTAGTAAACCAGCAGTGGTGGGGACTCAAGTCTAGAAATGTAACAAATGTGAATAAGATTCAGATTTCCCAGGCTTTTCCTCCTTCAGGGCTCTATGTTTTCACTATATTTCTTGTTTCTGTTATGTGAGTTTTAAAATGTAGCTGTCTTTTTATAAGAGACCAGTGTTTTCATTAGACTAATACACTCCCATGAACCAGTGGTTTGCTGTGGTCTGTGACCTCTGCAGAATTCCCAGGCTCTGTTTCAGGAGGCTCGGAGATCAAGCTGTCCTTACAAACACAGGAAGACATTACTTGCTTTTTCACTGTTGGGACACTTGGAACACTTGTAGAAAAGCAAAAGGAAGTAAAACTTCTGATTTCTCAGCATGCTTTAAGACTGCAGCACCAAGTTGCATCAGCAGTCATTCTATTTCTCATTGTCACTTGGAGTTTTGTTTAAAACCCTGCTTCTCTTAAGGTTGTCCTTGGTGAAGCAGTGAAGACTAATGTTAATAAATCTTGGCCCTTCTTTTTAATACTATGAATACGTGAAAAGTTCACATAAAGTATTTCTGCATACTGAAGTATGTTTGTGTTCAGAAAAAGCACTTGTGATTTAGCTGTAAACTGAACAGGCTGCTTATCATAGACCACCACTTTTACATGAAACTATGCTAAGACTGGTGATGATATAAAAGTGTTTTGAATGTTATAAAGAAATCTGAACCAATATTTTCCAAGCTGACCAATGTATAAATCATGTACTGGTAAAAGAACTATTCTTTGTGCAAGATGCAGCCATGAGTATTAATGTAACAATTTCAGAGATACCATGTAAAATCTCATTGAACCTAATTCAAGAAACTAATGGTTATGGTGTTTAATGTAAAGTAAAAGACTATCCACAATTATCTGAAATTTTTAAAAACATGTGTATGTCCAACTGTGCATCTCCATGATATTAAGTTGTCTTCTTGTTTCTTCAAAAGTAACTGCAAATGAACCATGAAGTATGAGAATCTAATTGTATTCTATTCAGTCAAATGAAGTGTAAATAGAGATGTATTTTTCACCCAGTGAAAAAAGGAACAAAAAATGTAGAAGAGTTACAGAAGACAGGTTTTTTGGTATTTATGTTAACAAAGTGCTCCATATTCAGCAGGAATCTTGCCCAACAGTAGACATTTTTGTTTATCAGAAAGTTCCTGGCATCCACCAGGCCAAGGGCAGTTATCCTGGCTAAGCACCCTGCCCTGCGTAGGACAGCCCCCCACAACAAAGGATCACCTAGCTCAAAATATTGACAGGTCTAAGACCAACACACCCTATGTTAACACCTTCCCCCACACACACACATAGGCACACACAAACATATACACTTTTAACTCTCAATTTTAATTTTTAAAGAGTAAATATCAATATAATCCATAGAAGCAAATATTCTCTGGGATCTTTTTTTTCAACAGTTCTAATCACAGCAACAAAAAACCTAAAATGATTTGCTTCCATATGTTACTAAAAACACACTACAGCTTATGATGCCTGCAGTCATGACCTAATACTACACTTGGTATAGTGCAAATTAACTGGCATAGTAAGACAGATTTTTAAGAGCTTACCTGTTCTTTATGTGGTAATATACTGCTAAGGTCATGCTGTGGAAGGAAAAAAAAATTGTTAATGATTGAGTCTATCATTTGTTGAAACTGAAGACAAATTTTCAAGAGGAGACCTGGCACTGCCTTGAAGTCCTCCAGTTTCAGCACAGTACCATATTGGCACTTTCCCGTTGTAATTTTTTGGCTTTTGGCAAACATAAACAGCAAATTCTAGGCAATGTGCTGTCAGAACACCTTTCCGTTGATTACACATTATTGCATATTTCCCTGTCATTCGGATTTCTACCCCTAAAACCTCATCCCTGGGAAAGTGCTACATATCTGCCCACATGCTTAAACTTAAACCACACAATAGTTTTGTTTTGTTTTGTTTTGGTACCGGGGATTGAACTCAGGACATTGCGCTTGTGAGGCAGGCAGCAGAATCACTAAGCTGAATCCCCAGCCCACAATAGTTTGTTTGTTTTTTTAAGTGGGAAGGCCATGCATTTGTTTCCATTAACTTACTTCATTTTTTACCTGCCCATCATTTTTTCATTACTTCTCTAAAAGTAAATAATAAAAGTGCTGTATACCAAATAAAAGAAAATCACTTCTCCAAGACAAGAAAACTTACTAGTAAATGCAAATGCCCACCAAACTGATGACACCTTTGGCCATCCTGAAATAATCAGTGATAATAATGCAGCATATGTCTATATAATATAATATTCATGGCAAGTATTTCCAAATTTGTTTTAAATGAAATATTAACAAACAGACACAACTCTTCAGATAACACATTTCCGTGTTTCTAAATTACGCACAGATATGGTATATTAGGGAACACAGGGGTTCTGTGGGGTGTGTCACATGCTTCCACTTACCCTCACCATCTAAAATGAAGCTTAACATCATCAAGGGAAGGCAAATGTGAATTTTAAAAGAAGTCCTGGCAGTGTTTTCAAATTTACACAGTCTCACACTGTAGGCATCAAAGACAAACATCTCCATAGTGTTTCCCTTCTATCTCCAAATCGAGTTCAATCGCGGACTGACATCACAGCAAACCTTGCCCGAAGTCTCATCTGTAAGCCTGTTACAGCCAGCGAGGGTCAGCAGCAGTTCTCCTGTACGAGACTCTGTTAAGCAGTGGTTCCTGAACTTCCCTGCACACTGGAATCATTAAAACCATCCGGGAGCCCTCCGGAGAGAGAGAGCCTGGCAGCAGGGAGCCCCACTCCATCCAAGCCGTGCCAGGCCCACCCGCGACCACCAGAAGGTGAGGACCCTTCACCACTTGCCATGCCCACAGCAGCGACCCACTTAACGCCTCGGGCACCTCTGGCCTCCTGGCTGTGCCACTACCTGGTTGTACACTACAAAGCCACAGGGGACACCAGACCACCATACTGGTAAGTTAGAGGGATCACCACCTCCCATCAGGACCTGGACTATCTTCAGGGGAAGGCCAGCAGGAACCTGCAGTAGAACCTTGCAGAGTTCAACCCTGCAGGAGGACAGGGAGCTCAACTTGGGCCTTGCTGCCAGAAATCTGCCTGAATCCCACGGGTCTGTGACTGACTTGCTGAGACTCACTGACTTATATCTGCACATGGCTGCCCATGTTGTCTATTGTGACAGCAGAGACATACCCTAAAGGAGGCCCTTCATTTTCATGTTTATCATTTATTTTCAATTTTTTTTTGCTCTTATTTTTATTTTTTTTTCCTACTCTTTTCAAATTTTTATTTTTCCCTTCTTTTTTTCTTTCTTTTCTCTTTCCTTTCTCTCTCTCTCACACTCGCTTTCTTGCTGTCCCCCAATGTTCTTCAGCTCCCTTTTTGTTCCTGTTCTGGCCCTAATTCAGATTTCTTCTTTATTTTTCTTTTCTTCCCTTTTTCCTTCTCTCGCCTGTGTCCTCTGGCCTCACTGCTAACCTTCTCCTATCCTTCTGCCTATTTATCCTTCCCTCCCCAACTCCTTCTAACTCCCCATCCTGAAGGGTAAAGTTGCTATATTGAAGAATTTATTCACTATAAACATATGTTGGTTTGGTCTTTGACTTTGATTTAATTCACACAGTTAAAGGTGATAGATTAATAACTACCACAAATTGTCATTTTCTAAGATGTGCTTGATGCTATAGTGTTGCTGATTGTATCACTTGGGCTGAGGTGTTGTGACTGATCTAATCAGTTGTCCTTTCTGGTATAATGAAAATGAGATAGCCTCAGAGTCATTAGAGACTCAAAACCTAAAGACCAGCTATGTCTGGAAGACACCTCTGAGAACCAATCATTCCATAAGGGTTCTAATTACAATCAATAAAGATACTTACAATAAGCAATTTTGAAGTATCAACCCAGGAATTAAACCAAGGACAGTACCAAAAACAAAAATGAGAAGACATTTAAGCAAAGGCACAAACTCATATTTCCACCCTACCAAGGATAAATTCTGGGGGAAATGAGGTGGAAAAGTCCGATAATCAACCACCTGGACAACCTGAACTGTTACGGCAGGAAGTAACAAAACAGATGAATGAGGCCCTAGAAAAATTCAAAACAGAAATAATTTCCCAGATAACCACAGAGATGGTAAGCAGAGTGAAAGACATGATTAGAGCCTGTAGAACAGAAACAGATAAAAACAATAGATGAGCTCAGAAACATGCTGGAAGCCATGAATGCCCAGCATAAGAAATGGAACCATGAATGCCTAGCATAAGAAAGAAATGGAACCATGATCAACCAGCATAAGAAAGAAATGGAATCCATGAAACAGATTCTTACAGATATCCAGGAAATTAAAAACTCCATTGAAAGTATGGACAGCAGATTAAGGGAATCTGAAGGTAGAATATCAGATATAGAAGACAGGATTGAGGTTAATGACCATGAAAACAGAGATTTCTTCAAAATAGTAAGGGACCGTGAGAAATCAATCCAGCAGCTGCTAGATAATGCAAAGAAGAATAACATAAGGCTGATAGGAGTCCATGGAAAAGCAGAAGAAAGTACAATTGACATAAAAAACTGTTCACAGAAGTAATAGTAGAAAACTTCCCAAACAGAGGTAGAGAATCGGACATACAGATAAGTGAGGCATATAGAACTCCAATTAGCCACAATTAAAAAAAATCTACACCTAATTTCAAGCCCTAAAAGAAAATAACTTCCAACCTAGACTGTTGTATCCTACAAAATTATCCTTCAAAATTGATGGGGAAATTAGATACTATCACGATAAAGAACACCTGAGAAATTTCATGAACACCAAACCAGCACTCCAAACAATTCTAAACAATATCCTAGAAAAAGACAATGAAGGTCACAACTCCATGAGACCCAACAGAGGGAAGCCACCAGGCAAGGTAAGAAACTAAAGGGAAAGAGGGAAAAATAAAAAATAAGAGACCCAACAACAGTAAAACATCATGATACGGAAGGGTCAATATCTATCAATTATAACCATCAATGTTAATGGCTTCAATTTACCAATCAAAAGAAATAGACTGGCAGAATGGATTAAGAAGTAAAATCTAACAATATGCTGTATACAAGAAACACACCTAACTCAAAAAGAAATTCATAGACTGAAAGTAAAAGGATGGACAACAGTTCTCCATGCAACAGGAACCTGGAAAAAAAAAGGGTAGCAATCTTTATTTAGGGACAAAGTAGATTTCAAACCAAAACTAAATAAGAGAGACAAAGATGGTCATTACATCCTTGTGAAGGGAACAGTCCAAGAGGAAGAGATGACAATCATAAATACATATGCACCAAATATGAATGCCCCCAACTATACAAAACAAATATTAATGGACATGAAAAACCAAATAAGCACTAATACAGTTGTACTGCGAGACTTCAATACCCCACTATCACAAATAGACAGATCATCTAGACAAAAAATTTAACAATGAAATTCTAGAACCGAACCAAGCTACTGAACAAATGGACTTAATAGATGTTTACAAAGTGTTCCACCCCGCAAAATCAGGATACACATTCTTTTCAGCTGCACATGGGTCATTCTCCAAAACAGACCATGTGCTACCTCATAGGACACGTCTAAGTAAATGTAAAAGAATTGAAGTTACCCTCTATATATTATCAGACCATAGTGCAATAAAATTGGAGATCAATAACATAAGAAATCTCAAAACCCCCACAAACACATGGAAATTGAATAACACCCTCCTGAAAAACCAATGGGTCACAGAGGAAATTAAAAAAGAAATTAGACAGTTTCTACAAGTAAATGATAATGCCAGTACAAAATACAGGAATCTATGGGACACAATGAGAGCAGTTCTACATGGGAAATTCATAGCAGTGAATGGCCATATCAGGAAAACAGAGAGAACTCAAATTAAGAACCTAATGCAGAACCTCAAGCTCCTAGAAAAAGAAGAGCACAACAAACCCAAAGCTCTTACAAGGGAGGGAATTATAAAGATCAGAGCAGAAATCAATGCAATGGAGACTAAGAGAACAATACAAAAAAATCAATGAATCAAAAAGTTGGTTTTTCGAAAGAATAAATAAAATTGATAAACCTTTAACCAACCTTATCAGAAAAAGGAAAGAAAAGGCTCAAATCCATGCAATTAAGAATGAAAAAGGTGAAGTCACAACAGATCCAGCAGAAATCCAGAAGATCATCAATATCTACTTTGAGAAGCTGTACTCTAATAAAATGGAAAACACAGAAGAAATGGACAGATTCCTAGATACATGTGAATTGCCAAAGTTAAATGAAGACAACATAGAAATTCTAAACACCCCAATTACAATGAGTGAAATTGAAAATGTAATAAACAATTTACCAACAAAGAAAAGCCCAGGTCCTGATGGCTTCACTGCTGAATTCTACAAGACATTTAAAGAAGAACTATCACCATTACTCCTTAAGCTCATCAAGGAAATTGAAAGGGAAGCAAGGCTTCATTCCTGGAAGCAAGTGTTACTTTGATTCCAGGGAAAGACCCAACACCAAAAGAGAACTACAGACCAATCTACCTAATGAACATAGATGCAAAAATCCTCAACAAGATACTGGCAGACAGAATACAGAGTGTCATCAAGAAGATCATACACCCTGACCAAGTCAGAATCACTGGGAATGCTTTTGTGTATATTATTACACCTTGCCTTCATCCCTGATTTCCTAGTGCTCGCGAGTACCCATAGATTGAAGGGAAGGTACAGGTGGGGAAAATGCACGTGTGTGCAGACACGTGTTTTGAAAAAGTTGTGTAAGTGATTCTAATAAGGTTTACCCATCTTATTGAGAACAATGAGCTATTGGGTTGGGGATTTAGCTCAGTAGTTCCTCCACCTTCCTCAAACGTGCAAGGTCCCGAGCTCGATCCCCGGTATCAAAAAAAAAAAAAGTGTACTAATGAGAACAATGAACTATTACCCCATGATAAACACTTTTTAAATTTTCCTAAATGGTTACTTGTCCTATTAATTACTAAATATTTATTTGAAAAGTAGTGCGCACAATGATTTAACAAAATACAATGAAAGCCAACTAAAACTTACTGTACTTCAAAGCAAAATTCTAAACATTAGACTAAGATGGGGAGAAAAACAAGTGTTAATCCTACTTGATTGAGGAAGGTTACTCTTTAAAACTCTATGCTGAGTTATAAATTGAACCTTCACAAGGTTTTTAATGCAAAAGAAGCTGGCAACCCTAACAAAGCAGAGCAGCTTTTTAGTCATGGATTTGGGGTGCTGGCTGAATACAAACATTCAGGAATTACTTGATAGATGCCAAATTTCAAAACTTAGACACAGTGCTGAGTTTTTGGTGAAACACAATTTGATCTCAATTACTATTGTAAATGTGAGAGAAAAATACACCAGGTATGTGAACTTGTAGTTTTTAATACAAGTAGAAATTACAGTGGTACCTCAGTACACAGACTTAATTCTTTCTACAATTCTGGTGCAAAGTAAATTGAATGAGAACTGAATCAAATTTCCCCATAAGGTCAACACTAGACATAACCATTGGATTTGATTGGCTTTCGTCCAATTTGGGTTTTGACCAGAACTGTGCAAAGAATTAAGTTCGTGAACCAAGGTACCACTGTGCTGATGATTAGCTAAAAAGAAAAGCTGACATGTGAGAAACAAAATTAAATTCTTATGTTATTTACATTTTTTGACAGAAAAAGTAAAATGAAGGATAAGAGCATTAACAGTCTAAAGAAATATAAGCTCCATTCTGAAAACCAAAACTCATAACCCAAGGGGACATGGATAATGTTCCCTGGACAACCCCAACTCAGTGGGGAAGTTCTGCACCTGGCTTTCGATAAGTTTGAAAGATTCCTGTCAGGCTCTTCTCATTGCGCATCTCTGATTGTGACCCATCAGTGCAGGGGAAAGGGGTCTGTAGGCAGGGAAAGAATAAAATAGGGGGCTCATTAGGTTTTCTGGCTAATCCTAACTAGAAGGAGTTAAAACTTTACTGGGAAAATTCCCCTGAGAACAGTCTCAAGCTCAAGGGTAGAGAAAAGAAAAAACACTTCAAAAGAAAGGCACCAAATGGCCTTGAAAGTTGCACCCAAAACCAGAGAAAGAGCTGACAAGCAGAGTACAGAGAAAGCCAAGTACACAAAGCCAAGACTAGCCATCCCTTTCTGCTTTCAGTAGAATGCAGGGGAAGCAGAAGGTGGAGGGGGCTGGCTAACTCTGGGGAAAGCTCTATTCAGTGTGTATAGGTGTGAACTAACACACACACACACACATATACACATACATATGTATCCACTCTAAGGCCACCATATTACTACTACAACAGAGACCCACACCTCCCCTTACTAACCCTAAACTAACCATGAATATGCACCTCCTAGCCAGTCACCTGCCACCTGGGGGTAAGACACTGTTCAAGGACAAATAGACAGAAGTTACATGTACCCCTGCCCCCAAGAAATGACAATGACATAGGGAAGGAGGCTCAGTCTAATGCCAAGACCGCCCAGGGAACCAGTTGGGTTATGGCAAGTTCCAGGTAGGCAAAGAGTCCTTGGCACCCAGTAAAGGCAGCCAAGGACAAAAGCCACTGGTCCTCCATCTTTTCATCTTGATTCTTGGCAGGGTAGCTATCTATCTGCTCCTTTTTCTCCCTTTCCAATAAAGTATCCTGCTTTCTAAACTTTGTATCTTTAGTTTGTTATGGTGCTGAGTTTATGATCCTGGTGAGCTGCTCACATACGATGGAGAGCATTCAAATGCTGACATACTGCGGTGCCAACAGAAGAAACGCTGTTCCTTCTTCCGAGACTCATTGCTAAAGTGTTAAACACTCTTTTAGGCCTGTAACTCACACAGAACTAATTGTTTCTTCTAGAAACATCCAATAGAAAGCACCTCCTCTCTTTAAGTTTAACATAAATCCATGAAATAAAGAAGTACACTTTTCCCAGGATTCTTTATTTGCTAATTGGTGTTCCCTTCTACCATACAGTCTGAGATTAAAACAAAAACTGAAAATTCACAAAGTTGGTCCCAGTGTCTTAAACTGAGCAAAGAGGAGGATAATCACATGGCTGAAATTACCCAGCACTGGCTGGGATGCTTTATCAGTGGGAATCCGCCACTAGGGCCCCTGCAACCTCCTGTACTCACCATTCCACCATGTCTGCACAGTTAGGCAGGCTGAGTGTGCTGTCATCTACATATATCGTTGAGCAAGAGTTATATCTCCTAGTAAGCTGCCCTGGAAACACCTGAAGGGAAAGGAAAGTAGAAGAGAATGTCACAGTAAGTTAAAACCATAAAAGGTGGGAGTTTTCCCTTGCTTAAAATGTCAAATGACAAACCACTAAGATGTTTCTTACACTGTACAAACTGTTTGAGAGTAGTATCATGCGTATAGCTCTGCAGAGGCCCTTTACTTCCAGGGATGCTCGGGGAATGGGTTATACAGTGCTGCCCTTAGTATGGTACCTATCATCAAACCTGACAAGCATTTAGTGTGAATCCCTTTATAAATATTATAACAAGTGTAAAGTAAGATTTTAGAGATTTTCTCTTAAGCAATAAAAAAACAGCTGAGATTTTCTATTTCTACTATTCAGTAACCAGAATAAAATGTAATGCTTTAAATAATACTGGCACAATATTAGCAAACAAAAGCCTAGTACTTAATTAATTAGTTAACTGATATGAGTGTGTTAGTGTGATGAAACAAATGTTTCAGAGTCAAAGGACTCTGTGCCAGGGCTGCTCAGTTACAAACACGCCAGGGCCATGGGTCTCTCCACGCCTGTCCCCTTACCGAGAGTGCAGAATCTTTAAGATTCCCTCACATCTAAAACAGACGACAGAAACAACCTTGGGACTTTAACATTCAGTACATTTTTAGGTAGACATTACTCCCATTACATTACTCCCATGGAAAGCCTCAGCCACTCAAGGTTTTATTAATTTTATTCTCTAAGCCATCTGATACACATCAGGGCACATTCCAGTCTCATCCATCCTGCTCTCTGCCTACACTGCCTTTTTCTTCCTCCATGTCCTGCACATTTGACCCCATCTACCTTCATTCAGTTGGAGCACAAATCTGGTGCCTATGGAAAGTGACTGGGACAGGAACCAGCCAGCCAGTTTGTCTATGATGGCAGAACCCACAGCAGGTTCCCAACTCAGAAGCACACAGCACCTTGGAGTAAAATGCGAAACAGAGGCCAAGAAGAACCATAAGAAATAAACATGCAAACCTGTCCCCCATCACTGCAGAATGCAGATGTTATATTCTAGAGATACTGAACCTGACAGCCCTGGAGATACCAAGTATACCAAGACTAAAACTGGAAAATAACAGGGGAAAATTGTGCACCAAACAATTTCTGGAAACCAGGCTGCCTTGATTGTACTCCTCAGGTAGAAGGCCAGGAGCTTCTTCTCTGAAGAAATCAGGCTGCCCCAGAGACCCGGTCCCAGATAATATACTAGAGTCCAACAATGAAGAGCTAGCTTCGCTGACAAATTCTTGCAGTGAGGCCCATTAGTTAAGAAAAAGTCTTGTGCCCATAGAGTATTTCCTACCAGAGAATGCTGGGACAGCCACACATTTCAGGGAAGCCCCCAACAAGAGCAACAGGGACAAAGGAATTTGTGGGAGTTCTCGAAATTCAGGCAAATGAAAACTGTAAAACATTTCAATACAAGGTTCAAAGCACAAAGTCAAGGAATCTAGTACATAATCAGTGCCAAAGGAAACACCAGAAAATGGAAAGGGGATGGAAATTTGACATTAGTGAAGAAATACTGGTCTGACAGCCACACTATCTGAATAACCAAACTATAAGAAAAAAATTGGAGAAAATATCAGGCAGACTGCAGACTTTAATGGCCATCCCAATAAGACGAAAAGTCAATAACAAAACTTACTGTGTTCTTTCAGCATCCCAGAGATAGAGAAGATACCACAAGCTTCCGGGAGCTGGCTAGAACTAGTTATTTATTATGCATATGATAGGATGGCAACAGACTTAAGAGCATCACTAGAAATGAGAAGACCGTTGTGAAAATTAGCTTCAACCTACAAGTCTATGTTTTATTAAGTAGGAGGGGTTTCCTTCCAGGTTAGATCTTTCAAATCATTGATATGGCCGAGGATTTAGCTCAGTGGTTCCACCACCTGCTTCCCAAGCACAAGGTCTCGAGTTTGATCCCCGGTACCAAAAAAAAAAAAATCATCGATATGCCCTTTTCCAGCAAAGTGTGCTCCAGTAACACAGGGGAGTGCAGCAAGACAGAGGAAACAAAAGAATCCAGGACAGCGAGGACAGCAGTTATACAAGAACCAGATGACTTCAAGGAGACATCCCGGAGAAAGATCGAGACAGCAGGCCTGAGGGAAAGCCAGCCTTCCTAAGGTAGGAAAGACTTACGAGGGCGGCCTCAGGGAAGCAATGAAACAGCTATGTTTAGGACAGGGAAAATATCTTGATAAGCATGCGACAAATGTTATAACATGGGGGTGGCTGTTAAGAACCCTGTCCAGTTTGGGCCGGGGATTTAGCTCAGTGGCTCCGGCGCCTGGCTCGCAAGAGCAAGGTCCTAAGTTCGATCCCCAGTATAAAAAAAAAAAAAAGAACACCGTCCAATTGAAAATAGGAAATTAATTCCCCCTCCCCCACAAAAAAGGAAGAATGTGAAAACAGAAAGACTAGCTGGGGTTACTTATGGTACTTGACTTTGTGAACTAACGTTGCTTAGGGAAGGAGGATCACCCAGGAGAAGTACAGAACTGCTCAGACTTCAGAAATATTTAAGAGAAAGAATTAAAGGTGTACAAAGAGGCAACGCAGTGGGACTATTATTGCATAACTCAGCAGTGAACAACAGTCACAATGTCAATACCAATTTGCTATTTAATTTAAAAACTATGATACATTGCAAGGAAATCGGGGAGAATAAGGTCATGGTGGAAAGAGGAAGCTAAACATTCAACTGTTAATGACAGAAAAATAATAAATAGTGCTAAAAACTGATGTATTCAGTAGTTTACTCAGGCCAGGGATATAACTCAGTGGGACCACACCTGCCTGGCAAGCACAAGGTCCTGAGTTCGATATCCAGTACCAAAATAAATAGTTTACTATGGTTTTTTAAGGGACTAAATCAAGGCAAAATATTTCAAGTAGATCTTTAACTCTATATCCATATTACTGTAATTGAACTTATACATCAAAACCCCTCAAAAACGGAAATTACTAAGTCAAAGCCTTTCCTGAGTAGATTTAAAGCATTGCAGGAAAATGTAAGAGATTTACAAAATGCAGAAAAAGAAGTCCATGGTAACAGACTGGCTCCTCTTTATATATTTAGAAATCATGGCAGAAATATTTTGATTCACTCTTAGTTTCTTATCTTTCCAATTATTTACTTACGTGGTTGAAATAGTTGCTTTTCCTCTGATCTTGTGCTAAGAATAAAAAAAAAAGAAAAAAACTAACTGATCCATTCTGATACAAATGTCTTAGAAAAGTACACAGAAGTCGCTACTAATTATCCAATGGATTACAAACATACAGAATGAAATAAAAATCTATTTTATTTTTTAAAATAAATCATCTGCCAGGATGAATTCCATAAAGTAAAAACCAAAAACTTAGTTATATCTTTTTTTAACCTAAAAGATGACAGACTCTCCTTATATAAAAGAAAACTATAAAACAAGCTGGGCCAGATGAGAAACTTAGCTAATTTTTTTTTTTAAGTTAACTTTTTGCAAATCTCAACCACTGTACAGACTTTCTTGAGCAAATAAATAGTATTTTATAATTGTACATTACCACACAGCTTAATTACAAGTATCTAACAGCAGACAGCTCTAAGAACCAGTTTCTGGCTAAGCACTGACCTCTCACTGCACTAGAACTCCTGGAAGTATCTTAAAACACTGACTGGGAGTCTACAAAGATACTGCACTGAAAATATGTTACTAAAAAATGAGTGGGCCTTTAAACAACTGTAAAGTAATCCTCCTTAAATACTGGACTTGAAATGAGTGTGCTGATCTAGCTGAGCAGAGTGTCAATGGCACACAAATTCATTTTGCTCTAACAGAGTAAATGCTCCGAGAGCAACACGGGCCACAGTGCCCCCTGCCTTCCCCTCTAACCCTGAAACTGCTGCAGGCCCATCCTTCCCCTGAAGAGGGGAGCCCAGGGCAGCCCCTCGGGCTTCCTATGCTCCCCCCGGAGAGGCCCTAGGCCCTCGAAGAAATGGAGAAACACAGCAATGCTAACCAGAAATGACCCGCTCAGGAAGGAAAATTTCACACCAATGGAAATGCAGGTAAAAAACATTTTTCATTGTGCTGCATCTCTCCAGGTAGTATCGAACCTACCTTCCTTAAATTCTTACCATTGAAATCAACTAAAATTTTGGTCACATGTGTTTTTTCAACAGAAAAAGAACTGACCAAACATTAAGAAAAAGAAGTTGAGGTGCACACAAGTTCATACATCTGATTCCTAAAGCAAATAGGACACAAGAAATTTACACTCATTCCACACATTGGCTATCCTTTTAGGAAATATTAGAGGAGCATGTTTGCACCGATTCTGAAATGAGGGTGAAAAGGTTTTGAATAACGGAAAATTTCTGAGAACACCATAAATCATAAATGTGGTGTGAGGCAGGCTCACTTGGTAAGAGCACTGTGGGGAATGGGGTCAAAGAGATGATTCAAGATCTCTCCCTCTCTTCCCTCCCATATACATGCATATAATACATGATTTTTTAATTTGTTGATATGATAATCTAAGTTTAACTTAAGTCCTATCATTTCTCTTTAAACTCTCCTCTGTGGAGTTAGAGAAAAGATCCAAAAGAGTGTGAAAAAGTAAGTACAAATCCATGACCGCGTCTTAATCATGTGGTCTACTGTACTGACAAAGTGCCAAAATGTGTTAATGTAAGCCACATGCTCTCAAACAGTGACATTTAAAAGAAAATGCATAATCACACAGTAAAAGTAAAGTAACATACAGAAAGTTGAAAAATGGAAGCCAATGTATGAGTTCTTCTAAACACTGTCTATAATATAGCACATAAAACAGCAATGGTTTTCAGCCCCATCTTTGATGGGGAGTAGCGTTTTACTGTATGCATGAGATTTGTTCAGGAAAATTGTGCTTGCCCTTGGATGGTCAGCAGGGTTTGATTCCAGAGCTTCACCTACAGAGGAAAAGGAAAGGATGTGATGATTTAGTTCAGTAGGAAAGTAGATGGTCTTCAAAGTAGCTAAACGACACCTTTCATCATTTAGTAGTGTTGAGAAAGTTTTTAGTTATGAATAGGAAAGAAACACAGGCAAGCATGTAAGAATTCTCCTGGGGAACTGTCCGACTGTAGACTCTCTCTACACCTATGGAATGAAATAGGCTATGTCTTACATTTATTTTTCTAAACTTGCACCTGAACGATCTAAAACACATTTTAGATGAATCAAATATGCCCTCTTCCCCTGTCCTACTCACCCAACAGAAACACAAGCACGCCTTTCTGTGCTGACACTGCCACACTGCAGGATCAGTGTCGAGAGCAAGCACTGCCCTGGCATCACGGATACACTGTCAGATACCAGTTCAGTGAAACAAGTATTTTCAAACAGCAAACATTCTGTAGACAACCAATTGCACGGTTAATCCTAGCTGCACTCAATAAGGGAACACGTTTTGTTAGCTGTTTTGTTTGGTGGCTGTTCACCATGGCAGACTTAAGACTGCTTAGAGATGCAATCTCCTGATCTACAAACTCTTCCTGGATGGAAACTGATTTTTTTTTTTTTACTTTTTGTCAATTTCCATATACTTTTGATTCTTGGAACCAAACTGGGAGAATCATTCACTTAGTGAAGACTAAACTTTTGTAATACAAACTGTGCTATTACATGAGGTAATAAAAGTCATCACATGGGCAGCTATGACCCTCCTCAGTGACTTCAAGCTACTTAACCAATCTTGTGACAAACTGTGCCAAGATTCAGATATAATAACAGTTAAGCAATATTTCCTTAACCACATGTTAAAAATTATTCTACTTTTTAAAAAGGGAGTTCAATGGTCAAATCACACCTCCCTCACCCTGACAAAATCAAAATGCATACCAATACATTAAAAGAGAATGACTAGTAGTGACTACCATCTAACTCACTGTTTCATACACGGCCTAAGAGTCCTTCTTTTGTCCCCTCCCGGTAATATGCTTAGAATCTTGCATACGCATAACATGAGGCTTCTGGGTTTAACCTGAGCTTTAATCACCCACTTTAATATACTTCAGTGCAGGTCACTAGAAACTGACTGAGGCCTACTCATTGCTCTTCATGGTATTCCTTCCACAGGTTCACTAAAACTATTCTTATGTAAAAGACTCCAACAAAAATTCATGTTTTTGGCATATCTATTAGAAGATGAGAAAATCTTAGTTATGTGGAAAAATAAAGTTATGTCGACAAAGTGACAGAGACTTTCATGGCTGACTAAAGTTTCTGAAGGGATATGGGACCACTTCCTACAAAAGCATCAATATATTACCATTTGAATTTCAAATTAATTAAACAATTAAAACTAGTTTACAGCAAGAGCCATTTAGCTATCGGCACCTTTATAATGACAAACTTTCAATGAAGTCCAGGAAAATTAAGTATCAAAATAAGAGGAACCAGCTTAAAACACGCACACACACACACACACACACACACACACACACACACACACTCTCTCTCCTTCCAAACCAAGATGTGGTACTACGTATCTGCAGATAAAATTCAAAGAGGGTGGGATAAAAAAAAAATGACAACATGCAGAAAATAAGAGGAACCAGCCCAAATAACAGACTGGCCCTCTCTCCAGGGCTTTAGGATGAACACGTGATCCACAGTTGGTCAGTTAATCACATGAAAAAAGAAAGACCATGAGAAAAGGAAGTGTTGATAAGTATGTGAAACTGCTTTTTTTCTCCCTCAAGAATCTTTTAGCATAAAACTTACTGTTCCATTTAATTTTTGACACTTTTATTTCAGTACTCTCTTTATTTTCTTTTTTTGGTTTGGAGAGTGTGCTAGGGATTGAACCCAGGATTTTTGACTGAGCTACATCCCCAGCCCTTTAAAAAAATTCTTTGAGACAGGGTCTTTTTTTTTTTTAATTTTCTGAGACAGTGTCTTGCTATGTAGTTCAGGCTGGCCTTGAACCCACTGTGATCCTCCTGCCTCAGCCTCCCGAGTGCTGGGATTACAGGCATGCACCACCATGCCTGGTGAGGCAGGGTCTTCTAAGCTGCCCAGGCTGGGCTCAAACTTGTGATCCTCCTGCTTTAGCCCTCAGTGCTGGGATTATAGGCATGGCCCTCACCTTAGTACTTGGCTTTCATTTCATTAACATTTTAATACTGGTGTAGTTACTACTGTTACCGTACTAGATTCTAGAGACCAAAATTTGTCCTGTGTGGTGAAAGTTTGGGGGAAAAAACCTTTTTTTTTTTAATTTTTACTGTTAAAACTTTTTTCTTTTTTTTGCATTTCTTTCCTTTATTTAAAAAATGACTCGGTGCGAGGAGGGCACTCCTTCTGTGGCTTTAGGGAGGATGCAGGTTCCGGGTAGTCACCGGGACAGACACATGGGTGCTTGGGGTGGCGAGCTGGGGCTACAGTATGCACAGGGGTGGGCAGCGCCTCTGGACCCTGCACCAGGCCAGCTGGGGTCCCGCCCATTTCAGGGGGCAGCCTCCAGCTTCATCCCTCCAGGCACATGGGGTTGGGGCCCTGCTTAGCCACGGGGGCTGGGTGCGAGCCTTCTGTCCAGAGAGGACAGTGATGGCCCTACTGGCCCACGGGTGGTGCGAGAACAGAAAGAGCAAACCACCTGCTACATGGACAGGGGCTGCCCTTGGGGACAGCACTGAGGCTGAGCCCCGCCAGAGTCCCACTCCTGTGTCTCCAGTGTCTTGGAGGGGGGACGCCCCCCGCAGGCCAGGGGTCAGGGTGGCCTCAGGTACGTGGCTGGCCAGGCCCCGGTGTCCCCAGGGAGCAGGCAAGAATGAAAGAAGACCCCAATTAGGGCCTGTGGGACCCCTCACCTAGGCTTCTGAGCTCAGAAAGGGGGTCTGAGGCACTGCGTGTGCACTCGACAGGCGACCACACCGTTCCATTCGCCTAGGTGAGCAGCTGCCGGCCCTGAGCTGCAGGGACAGTGGGGACAGCCACCCCCACGGGCCTGCCACCCTTGGCCTAGGTTGGCCCCAGGGTGGAGACACCGCCCTGTCCGGCCCATGGTGTTTGAGGGATTGTCTCACAGCCACCCAGGGCTCTGGGCACCAGCCACGCTGTACCACGGACCCAGGGACGCCCCTTCTGGATGCTCAGGGGGCAGGGAGTGGATGCGCGGATGACGCCCCGGGGCCATTGGGCCGAGGTGTAGATGGCCTCTGGGATCTGCCCATCCTCCACCGAGGTGCCATTGCTGTTCCCTGCCGAGTAGTAGAATGTGAAGCAGGTCTTGGCCCCCGTCGTGGGTGACTCGTGTGTCACCCTGCACAAGCCTCGGGTGCCATAGTGGGAGTCGGGGCCCTTGAGGCTGGCGCAGGCTGTGTAGTTCACCTTGGGCAGCACCTCCACCTTCTCCCTGAACGCGACCCTGAAGGTGCTGGCCGAGCCGTTGCAACTGAATCCCGTGTCGTTCTGGCCCAAGACTGTGTTGCCGTCGGTGTGGACGATCTGGATGTTCACTTGGTAGTCTGTGGGCCCATGGATGGATCCGTAGAGCCCGAAGCCCACCACGAAGATGCGCTTGTTGACCGAGAACCTGATGTGGTCACTGGCCCCGCTGTAGCCCCAGCAGCTCTCCACCTGCTGGAAGCGGTTGATGCTGCGCTCCTTGCAGAGCAGGCAGCATCGAGGGCGATCGATGAACTCCACTTGCGGCTTGGGGTTGACGGTGAAGGGCAGGAAGAGGCTGGCCACCTCCTGGTGCACCAGGATGCCGGACTGCGCAGGCCCTGCGGCAAACTCCTCGATGGTCATCGGCGGGAAGCGGATGAGCCCCAGGGCCTTGCCCAGCACCGTCCGCTGGTTCTCTGGTGTTACTTGCAGCTGCTGCCGCTAACACTCAGCTTCAGACCAGCGCACGACCGCACTGAACAGCCGCACCTCCCGGATGCCCAGGGTGTCCCGCTCCAGGACGGCCACCAGTGTGTCCAGGTTGATGTCCGTGAAGCCCTCGGCGGTGACGGCGTCGGCCGTGTTCCTGTCGATGCTCTCCAGGCACAGGCTCGCCAGCTGTGACTCATGGAACAGGCGCGCCTGTGTGAGCAGCATGAAGGCGCTGTCAGCCCGCAGGTTCTTCAGGAACTCCACGCAATGGGCCTCGAGCGCGGGCACTGCGTGCTTCTTGGCGGTGTACAGTGTGGCGATGACGGTCTCGGCCGATCTGCACCTCATCCGAGTACAGGAACTTGAGCAGCGCCAGAGAGGCTGCGGCTCCACGTCGGGCAGCTCAGTCTCCGTGGATGTGGTGGCCATGCCGCCATTGAATGTGGGATCGAAGACGGCGCTACTCAGGGCCAGCGCAAACCCGTGCGCCGGGACGCGCTGCCAGCCGAGCCCCTTGCCCGCCAGGAAGCGCGCGTCGAGAGCACCTCGCTGCTGAGCAGGAAGGCGAAGCGCTCCGGCACCGCGGGCTTGGTGGCCTGGCAGCTGTACACGGGCTCGCGCCGCAGCGGCGTTCACGGGCCGGGCGGCCGCCTTGGCACCGGGCCCGGGCCGACCCGGCGGGCAGGACGCGCG